GCCAGCCAGCCCCGCCCCCTGGTGGGCTGAGCTGGCCACACACACACCTCTCTCTCTCTCTCTCTCTCTCTCTCTCTCTCTCTCTCAAATAAATAAATAAAGGTAAAAAAAAATAAATAAAACTCTTTATGCTAGATAAATATATCAGTGTGTACACTGCTATGAGATATTTGAAAAAAAAGACTATTAATTGCAGACAAACTTACCATTTACCCATTCCTCATATGACTAGGAGACCTTCTATTTCTTATGTTGGCAAAACAACGCTTACAGGCACTGGCGTCATGTCTCAGGAGAAGAAAGGGGCTGACAGTTGGGAAAAAGCCAGCAATGATTATAGATGTGTTCACCAGGATCCATGTAGGATTATAAGTGAAAGAGCTATAGACTTGAATGATGCAGGACACTGTGTAAAAGCAGACGTAGGTAATGACCAGGAGAAGGATGTTTTTGGTAGCTCTGGACTCAGGGGAAGATCCAGGTCTGACATTAGTCGTACGGATGTATTTCATCTGCTGCTTGTGCCTGTGCAGGATAGATACCATGTAGCTGCTTGTCCAGAGCATGAGGCCCACACACAGAACATCAGGAAAGGACAGAAGGGCTGCATATAATGACTCTGCGATTTTGTTGTGACGAATACTGGAACAGTAACTATGATGTTTGAGGTTTGTTAAATTTTGGTTGCTCTGCTTGCCAGTGATGGACAAAAGAAAAATAACATTTACAAGGCTGTACAGGACCCAGAACAGGCACATGGAGGAGTCAGCGTACTGGGGAGCCTTTACTTTGAGTTCTGCCCACCTGGAGATCCTGGAACTGATGGTGATGGCTTGGAATACACTGAGGAAACAAGTGCTGCCCACGGTTCCACCCCTGCTTATTCTCTGCAGATAGAACAGTAGTTTGCATCCCACATCACCGGGAGAAACTTGCCAACCAAAAGCTGCTATGCTGTGGGGCACTCCTCTAACCAGGAGAGTTAAGAGATTGGCTACAATCAAGTGCTTAACGATTAGGTCTGTGCACCTTAACTTGAACCCAGTGAAGTAAAGGAACAGATAGTGGTAGAGAAGGGAGCAATTGCCTAGAACCCCAATTACAATCTGCAATGAGAAGACCACTCCAATAACAACTTCACTGTCTGTCATCCTGCCCATTGCCTGTTGTCTGGGCTGAGGACCCTGCAGGGAAAGTTGAGGCTTGGACTGCCTGTTCCAAGATAAAGGGACCAACAGTGTTCACCTGCCACTGGCTCACACTGAGAACTATTTGTTATTTTATAACAGGACTCCAAGGGCTGTTTTACACATATTTTTAATATATTTGGTACAAGGTCCCACTATGCAGCTCAGACTCATAGTGATTCTCCTGATTCAGCCTCCCCAGTGCAGGGATTACAAGTGTGCACCATCGTACCTGGTCTTGGTGGTCAGCACAGAGTGCCCAGGGAAGACCTGCCATGGAATGTGGACCTAGTAATTGAACCCAGGGCCTTGTGCTTGCCTAGACAGGTGCTTATACTGCCAGATAACTCCACAGCCCTAATTTACACATTTGAAGAGGCTTTATGATTTACACATTTCTGCTATGAAGGCATCAGGCCTAATGACTAATTCCTTTCTCACAATTTGTGATGCAAGTATGACTAAGATTTTAACTTTGAAAATGACAAAATCTTGGGCAGAGGGAGGTTAAATGATGTCTAAATTCATACCTTCATGAGAGCTAGAGAGTGTCTTGGCCCTGGGTAAGTGATGACTTGGAAAACAATCATGGTTTCCTAAAACATTCTTTCACTGGGTTTTGGAGGAATCCTACATTATATTTAGGTTCGAAAAATGTGTCTCTCTTATCTTTTCATAGCACATTTGAGGTTACCTTTCCATTTGCTTGTGAACATTTATATTACTGGGTATCATCAGTCATTAGTGAATTTTTTCAATATGTGAAAAATGAACTGAGGGCAGTTACTGCAGAGAGAGATGCTTCCTTAGAAAGGATGTGCAATGAGGCAAAAATTCTTGATGCCATGAGAACTGCTGAAGCTTTCGTATTCAAGTTCTAGACCATGTACAATGACTTCTGTTACAGGAGTTGTCCAATATCCATGCAGTCAACTTTGGATAGTAGCTCCAGTACATACTAAAAGAGTGTAGAAGAGCAACGAAGAATCAGTGTTACATCATTCCCCTATTTACTAATGAGTTAAATGTAAATAGTAACAATGAAAACATATTTCTGCATGAGGTTGAAATGGAATCATATATTCAACATGGCAAAGCCAGAAATGAAAGCTTATTCATTTAAAAATTAAAACAGCAATCTTGAGTTTGGGCCTATTAGTTAGTACATATTTTAATATATATTTTGTTGTTTAAAGTATGTTTCACTTCAATATAGAAATCTCCTCTATATGCAACTCCTAACCCAAGAAATTCTCTTAGCACAGTGACTTAATTTTTACAATTCATGAGAGTATTTTTCAATGTTTTCAAATGAAAGATGTTTTTGAGGGGGCTAGCTCTGGCTGCCTTAAGGGTGGGTGTGATGAGGCTTGTGGGACTGGGGATCAAACTGCGGTCCTTTGCACCTGAATGCATTTGCCCAACCGGCTCTTTAAACAACTGAGCTATTGGGCAAGGCCCCAAAATGATGCTTTTTTGTGATATGAGGGATTGAACTCAAGACCCTGCACTTGCCAGGCAGGTGCTTAGTCTGCTGAGCTCTCTCCCTGGCCAACAATGTTTGCACATTATATTACACATTACTGACAGCTGTTCTCATAGTGGCACAATGATTATGTTAACTTTTTTTTAAAAAGGTGCTACCTAAACTTTCAGAGGAAAAATACACACAGGACACTCAAGAAACTGAATTAGTTTTAGAAGAGATATAATTCAATTCTTCATTAATTGTATGTTCCATGTATAAGTACAGAACGATATTTTTATTTGTGCAATTTCTTGACTTATGATTTTTTGTAGGATTTGATTAGCCTTGTGAATTCACCTTGTTCTTTATTTAATAAGTGTGAAGGCTTTCGAGGAACAGTGTTATAATCCTGAAAAGTTTGCATGTAATTTCTTAGACTGAGTATCAATTTTGTTAAACTTTTTCTGTGTAAATGATTGCATTGATTTTTTTTCACTTATCCCTTATCACTTTTAAGAGCAAATTTTCAGCGATTGAAAAGCAGAAATTGTACATTTCTAAGATATACATTGTATACTATAGCCACAAATTCCTAATACACCACTTGGCAAACATATTAAACATTGCATGTGCATGTTATGTGCATGTAAAGGAAACTTAGAATGTGTCCGTTTATGAATTTTCAGGCAAATAATATGCTATTATTGACACAGTCTCTATTTTTTATATTAGATGACCAGATAGTTTTCCTCTTGCAATTGAACTTTTTTTTCCAAGAGAGCAACTTCATTAAGCATGGTAAACCTCAGGCTGCACTGGTACTGATCACATAGCCATAAAATACCTGCTAGTGAAAAATCACATTAATTTAGAAGCCAACCGTTATTGACACAGGGTATGAAAACATCTTTCCTTACACTCCCTGAGCCCATTACTCAGAAAAGCATCTGATGCCTCTGCATCTTTGACATTCAGTCAGGTTTCATCCAGAATTGCTGATTTCATGAGAATATTTTGTGAGAATCACTGATCCTGGATCCTTTAGCCAGATTTCACATTAGCTTCCCTTATAAATTCTGCCTCTCAGCTTGTGATGGGAAATACTTACTGTGCTCCTTCCCTGTGTCAGGTTGAGGATCAAAGTGTGAGAGTCTCCAGTCTATGCCCGAGACTATTGCTATCAGAAAGTGACTAGTTCCTGAAATACGGGACTGTGTTTCTGTAACTTGGCCTCCCCTCAGACCTGCAATTATCAGTTCATCTCTAGCTACAATGGACATTCAGGTCTGGGGATCTAAGTTCTTCTTTCAGAGCTTTTTTCCCAAGGTGAGGTTTGTCAATCACATTTACAAGTTTCTTGCTATAGTCTCTTAAGAGAATACCAGAGTCTTTGGAGAAACTCTTACGTAGCCTTGACAGGTGCAGGGGAGCTGGTCCCTTATGAAGTAGGACAGGAAACCTTTGTTCTTCATGAGTGATAACAATAGTGATCTGTGTATGTTTCACTGTAATCCTTGTTTTCTTCAAACTTTCACTTTTTGAAAAAATCAAAACTTAGTTTTTCTACTCATATCTTAACTTTGTCTCACTTCATGGTTCCAACACTTATGCTATTGGCAGAGGCATAGGAGGGAACATTATCTGGGAAGGATTTTGAGAGACACAAGTAAAAAAGAAAAACATGATTTTCCCAACTTTAAACTTCTCTGGACACAGCTACATCAATAAGTCTATGAATCAGGACATTGTGATCTGAATGAATGTCAAATAACACTGAATTAGCATTGAAAATTTTAAGAGAAAACTTACTTTTCTAAAATCAACCTTTATTACTGACTAGAGTGAGAAAGACAAGGATTAGTGTCCATGAAAAGGAAAGAAAGTGATTTTAAAACATCCTTTACATATTAACACATGAGATAGTTTGAGAGGCAGATTCTTAGGTTCTTATATTAGGAAGAAAACCTGTCTACTTTCCTTAAGAGCTTCAAATAGTCATCAGAATTCTCTACACAAATTTCTATGCTGAATTTTCAATGAGTGCTTTGGGTTTTGTCTTTCAAAATAAAAGTCATGATGTTAGAGATTTTTACTCACAACACACACACTTCCACATGCACTTATATATTTTTTCTCCAATGTCCTCAAATATTACCATCATGGATTAAATATATATTTAATGGATACTCATAAGAAAAAAAACTCATTTACATACATGTGTGATAGTTTGAGCTGTAAGCAAAAGGTAGAATTGAATCATTGCTGGCCTTGTCCAGGGGATGCATAAAGGCTGCTACAATTTAACATAATTTACACTTTACTATAAACATTCTCTGGCAAACAAATCAGGAAAATGATTTACATTAGACTTGGAGACAAACTGAAATATTTGGAGTTAATTCCACTAGAAAGGCAACAAACCCCGTAAAAGTCATTACAAATGTTTCTTTTTACTTTATACCTTTTTTTTCATTTTCTTTCTTACTTTTACCCTTGCCATACCTGAGTTCTCCTTTATCTTTCCTTTTCACAATAATCACTTATGTTTTTGATCTTATTTACTCATTCAGGTACTCATCCCAGGGAGACAAAGAAAGTTTTGTAAATAATGAGCGGGAAGCAGGTGAAGAGAGGAGATTGTATTGGGACAAAAAAGGGAATAAAAATATATCGTGTACAGGTACAAATTCCTTATGGTTCATATGATCATTTCAATAGTTAAAATGTACCAATAGGGGAACCTAGTGCACACAACTGTCAAGGAAGCTCTGGGGATCTGCTACAGTGGCCTATCCCACCTTCACAGAAGGCAAGAAGACACTGATAGCTACAGGGTCAGGGGAGTCCAGCCCAGCCCTCATCACAGTCTCAGGAATAAAATTTGACCCACACCCATCAACCCTGGACACTTTGTGAAGTGCAATTTGCTCCCCCATCACCATGGCAGAATCCATGCTGTACCCCACAAAGCAAGAGCTTTCATGAGACTAAACTGAACCCCACTCTCCCAGGAGCCTTTTTACCTTCAGCCCACAACCCTCCTATTGCTGCTGAATATGAGAGAAAAATCACATTCGAAAATGTCAAAACAATGGAGCAAATTGCATGCTCAGACCTCCAGCCCATGCAGAACAAGTTCAAGAAACAAGGTCATAGAAGCACTTCGAAGTTACAAACCTGAAATTTCTGAAATGATAGCAAGTGTAGTAACAAAACAAATGCATCAGGCTATAGGAAATATCAGGTCAGAAATAAACTCTAATGTAAAAATGAAATGGCACCAACAATGAAATAATTTTTTAGTGCACCAAAAAAGGCACAGGTTAAAAAAAAAGAGAAGGGAATAGAAAAATGACAGAAACACTAAAAGAACGATACAGTAAAGACTTCAAATGCATGACACAGGTTCAAACAGATATTCAGGAAATTTAAGAATTCCATTGAAATCCAGTAAAGACAATTCAAGGAAACAGAAGATTGAATTTTGGACCTTGAACACATCGCA